ACCTCGTGGCTAGTCCAGTCCTCCGAGAGACTCTCTCGAAAGTCCTACTAATCTTCAAGCTTCAACGGGTGCTTGAAAAACCGGTACAACTTGAGAACTTGAATCACACAAGCCTCACTTTCTTACAACAACAAGACTTGAGTCACACAAGTCTTTTGAATAACACTCAAATGAGATTGAGTTTACAACACAAGAATGAATGCTCACACAATTGAGCAAAGTAGTGTTTGAAAGATTTAAGCTCTATGGATGACAACTTCTATAGCACTCAAAGAAAAATATTTCTAACTCTCAAAAATAATATTTTGATGAGGAAGATGAAGCAAAGGATGAATAGCTCAAAGAAATATATTGGAGTGCAAGAGGTGTGTTTTTAAATGAAGGAGAATGAGGGATTAAATAGGCTAAGGAAAATAAAGCCGTTGAGGAAGGCTGATGATATGCATCAGACAGAATTAATCGATTAATTTTGACAAAGTAATCGATTAGATGGCGCTGTCTCAACTAATCTCTTAAATGAAGAAGATTAATCGATTAATTTAAGAAAAAGGCTTCAGCGAGAAATGCAATCTTAATCGATTAATTTTGAAGGAAAAATCGATTATTCTGCGCTGTGAGAATTAATCGATTAAAAGAGTAAGAAAAATCGATTAATAATGAAGGCTTGAGAAATCCAGCGCTGTGAAATTGGATCTAATCGATTAATTTTAGAATAATTAATCGATTAAAGTAAAAATAATGCGCAAACATAAAGGGCCCAAGCCAAGCGCGATTGGAAGTCCTTTGGCTTCTAACTGGTTGTTTGAGACAGCAAGAATAATGAAACGCTCCTCAAAGAAAAAATATCCCTTATTCAATGAATTTGAATAGGGGAGAAAAGGTGAGTCCAAAAATTATTTTGTGTGTCAAACGATGTATACGAAAAATATTTAAAGTATATTTTTCTTACCAAAAAAAAATGTGTAATCTTTAAAAAGAATTTTTTTAAGAAATTTTGACACACTTATTTTGAAACTGACTCAATAAAAAAATATTTTAGACAGAGGAAAAGTAATTTTTCAACTGACTCAAAAATAATAGTAATTTTTTTATCCCTCAGAAAATAAATTGTTTTGTGCAGAAGATATTGTCATCCTTACAAGAATCCTAGGCTCAATAAAAATTAAAAAGTCTTCGGAGTCTTCACTTTACTTCAAAAATCTGCGTAGGGGTGAGCGTTGAATTTTATCCCGTAATTTTCTTGATACGCCTCTTTTCTTTTCTCGGTACGAAAAGTCAATTTTCGATCATCGTTTGAATTTCATCATCCTGTTTGTCATTTATCAAAACAAGAAAATATTCCAGAAAAAATAATAAAGGGGTTTGAACTCATGTCCAACAATTTCCCCCTTTTTGATAATGACAAACATAGTTGAGAAAAAGCAAAGAAAAGAATACTTCCCTTAAATGATTCCCCCTGCAAGGTTAGAGAAGTGCAGCAAAAAACAATCGGAGTAATAAGCGGAAAAACAATTTTGAAAAACAAGTTTTCTCAACGATCCTTCCTTCCCCCTTTTGGCATTATCAACCGACAACCTTCCTCCTTAATTTATGCCGGGATTTGAAGGAGAAAAAAAAAATTGTAAGAGTTTTCAAAAGAGCTTCTAACACGAATTGCCTCAAAGGGACAAAAAGTTCTAAAAGAGAACCATATTAGCAACAATATCATTCACCAAAAGAGTTATAACAGTAATAGCAAATAACAATGTATCAAAAAAAGCTAAGATGGAAGAGAAAATAATCAAAGAGAGTTCGCCGGACGAGCTCCTCCGCTGAAGCTGTGACGCGGGCCACGGTAGGAGCGAGATTGCTCAAGACGAGTCATCCTCTCGTTGAGCTGGCGAACGTCATCTCGGATGCACGTGAGAGTATCGAAGATCTTTTTCACCCAAGATGGTTCCGGTGCTTCTTCTCTCGGACGAGTCCTCCGTTGACGAGTGACGCGCTCCGTGGCTCGACTACCTCCGGCTTGAGATGACTCAGCTTGATTCTCGTTTTGGCTTTCTTCTTCTTCTTCGGCGACGATCAAGTCCTGATTTGGTGCAGCATCGCCCTCCTCTCGATACACGATCCGGGAAAAGTTGGCTTCAGTGATGAAACACGTCTTCTTAACCGGCACCTGAGTGTCCCGAGTAAGGTCTACTTTGCAATGAGCAAGGATCTGCATAATGGGGATGGCAAAACGGAGATGGGAAAAGCAAGTGCCATCGCTAAGTGCAACGATAAAGAAGTGAACCCAATCAAATTTGACATCGTTCAACAGGACGTGAAACAAACGAATATCGTCCTTGTTGACGACGCCATGGTTCGAATCACGGGGCAACAAAACATATGAGAAAATGTATTGTTGGACGCGTTGAATTAAAGTGAGATTAACGACACTCGGGTTGCTAGAGTTT